GCCTATTCGAGTCATTCGTTGATGAATGGGGCAGCAAATAATTCAAGTGATGGTGAATGCGATTGCTGTGATCGGATCCTCAGCACATCGTTTCATGCTGATCATGCCGCTTAAGATAAACTGCGACTTGCATTCGTTCAGTTTTCTTAGGAAATACATTTAGGTCCAAAACATAAGGTTAAAATAAGAGGCAACAGCGGACATTCTCGAACAAAACAGGGCAGATGGAGGTGATGTATGTAGGGGATGTATGCTGAGCTGATTTAGAGCTGCTTCTATCAGACTTCGTAATGGACCATATAGAACGGGTTTAATGTAAGTAGATGATCGGTGGGACGCCGTGGCCGAGTGGTTGTGATGTTGGTCACGACGCGCGTGGAGTCATAATTCACCCCCTCGACCCACCATCCCACTTCTCTTCAGCAGGCAAGAACAGCTTCATATGGAACGCCACAGCAAGGCTATCCTCGAAATTGCAAGGAGACTTACTCAACTAGTATTCTACGTGTTCTAGAAGATTACGAAAAATGAGTCCAATGCTAGAAGTACTGATCCGCAGAGTAAAAAAAAGCATTGGATTGACGGATCAACTGAACTGTAAAATGCCAAAAAAGTTTATCGGTATGTTACCACTAATCAGTCTGCTATCAATGATTTATTAGGTGCCTTATTTACATTTAGATGGCCTAAAACATCGCCTAAATGTTTCCTTTTGGCAGAAGATGACGTGCCAAAGCAACAGCCGTGCGAAATCTCATGAATTCGTCTGAAAATTATTATATTCGCTGATTGTGACCGTGAAAATTTGGTTATCGAAACTAATGTAGGCATGTTTTGAAGGTATATAAATAAGCAGTGTGGATTTTTTTTTTGGAAAACTTTACTTGTTGCTGCCACATTTTTCCTTGGCTATTATTAGGATTACTTTATCACTTTAATATATAAAATATCTATGTGTAATATCTAGCGTTCTGCAAAGCTCTCGAGATTTCAATTCGCTCGATCTAGGTGACCATGGTGCTGAGCTTTCCTGCCGAGTTGCTGATGAGAATGCTGAAGCTGATCATTCTTCCACTTATTATTAGTTCAATCATCGCAGGTTAAGCTAGCTATGAATAACGAATGCGATTAACTTTACGCCTATCCTTATAATCCTTTTTCTAAGTAAACCATTGATAACAATGTAAAATTATTCTTTAAGAAGTGAGCCGTCTTTTCTGTGGTCCATGTAAATTTTCCGACATTCTTTAATTCTTCGATCTTCTATCCTAACTTCTTCCATTTCTCTTATCCAATCATCTCTCTCCTTTCTTTCTCGAAAAAGTTCTCTAACAACGAAGATATGTTAATATTACGAAAACTGCACCCCCAAAATTTCCTGTCATCCTTCTAATTCAGTCCATACGAATTCTGCAATATTTTTTTCAAGTTTAGCACAGCTACGCGCAAAGCAGTCTGGAAAAATAGGATCTTTGGCGGTAACATACTATTTGGTGACAACAAGTATTGCTATTATTGTAAGTAGACGTCAGAGGAATTCGTAAGAAAAACGGATCTGTTCGTTTGAAACTTTTGCCCAAAAAGGTTCAACATTCTTTGTTCTTTGTACAGACGTTATACACAAACTCTTTCTCATAGTTGATATGTTGTTGATCCCCAGTAAGTTGACATCATTAGTGCAGCATTTTGGATTTTCAAACGCTTATAAGATTTCTAGGGAAGATATCCATTCATTATGCTTTACTTTTTATCACGATAAGAGGAACATAGAAACAATCCGATTTATAGACCGGAATAATACTAAAGCAGTCCATTCATCCTGGCGATCCAAAAATCAAAGAGGATCTTGGTGAAGGCGCATAGAATAAGAAAATCAAACCCGCTGGACACGTAGCTAGATTTATTATGGTATTCATTCCGAAAACATTATTATTATTGGAAGTTAATATGTGAAGTTTGTTTCAATAATCAAACTTGTACCCTACTGTTGAAACAAACATGAGACAAAGCACTTCTCTCCTGCCTCTTTCTAACTGGTTTGAGACAAATGAAAATTCACTAAGAAAACTTCTTTCTAACTTATCCTACTAGATAGCAGTCCAATTTTTCAATGATGCGCTGCCCAGATACGCGTTTTCGGATAATATTGTTGCAGCCGCATTTCAACAAGCACAGACGAAGTACGTCACCATCCGTCGGTCGGGGATTCTGAATGTGAACAGTGGCAACCACCTTAAATCTCTTAACAACGACACTCTTGACTACGTGAAAGCCACGCTGGAGTACAATGACGGTATCAATGTGCTCGGTTTGTTATCCTTATAACGTAGATTTTATGAGCAACGCTCTCCTTCTTCGTCTACGAATTTCATCGGCAATGTTCGAGTGTCCAACGTAACTAGCGCTGTTTATTTGAGGCACGAAAATGCTTATATTTCTCTAAGTATTGCTTTAAACAGCACTATTTCGCTATTTTAATGTTTTCTTCGGAGTCACATTCCATTTTGAGGTCTAAGTCATTTAGTGTGGAAGATTTTTTCTATTAGTTTATGATTATTGGAACGAATTCTCGGTACTAGTCATTTATAGTAAGTAAAGATAGTCCAATTCTGAGAAATCCTCACAAATCTGTGGAGTTGGCAGCTTAGTATCAAACTTCTTTGAGGGAAGAGATACGTTGCATACCACTAATTTCGACTTCCTTTCTACCTCGGTGTTAATGCTCAGATTCACTTTATTGATGATCTGGCATGAACTTTTCTTGAGTCTTAATCATAACTGTGGCACTTCAAATCGGTAAAGCGAAGAGAGAATGAAATCTGGTACCTATAAAACGACAGAACGAAGTTTTCTCCAAAATCCTTGTACGAAAAATTCGAAAGTTCTCAAATTGGAGAAAAAGTCTCTATATAAAAAGTAAATCTGCACTTTTACAAAGTGGCATTGAAATCGTTTCTCACGTAGCTGTTCGTGAGAGGCGCAATTTTTGATAATTATCTAGAAAATTTGCTCCACTTCAAAAGAATTTTTTAGATTTCTCTCAACATTCTGACACACGTTGATCTTCTGCTCATTCATGCCTATTTGGCGCATATATCTTTGAGTGAGAGATATAATTTTTCTCTGCTCTATGTAGACTTCTGCAAGAACTAAATACAGTTTCGGAACTCCCATTTTGGCTGTTAAGCAACTATTTGTGAAACTCTGCCAAAGAGACATCTAAAAACCGTAGCGAAGCAAAAGTTGTGAGGCGAATGTGAAGCGTAATTCATCCCGACAGCATATTTTGAGCCTTTAATGAGGTCTGTTAGAGCACCTATGCAATGAAGGACCGTGTTTCTGCCTTGCAGTCACATTATTTGCACAGTGCTTCTTCTGAGCCAATCCCTTCCGGTGGTGAACCAGCTTTCATAAAGGATTTGCCGATGAACACGTTACACTGGCGTGTCTGAAGTAGAAATTCACTTCACCCACGACAGAGATAATATATCACTGCGTGTTCAGTGACAATAATCACCAGATGCAGTGTCCGTCGACGATTCCTCTGCGCAAGCGGAGTTTCCTACCATAAGGGATTGGCTGAAACGAAAAGCACTGTGCAACTGACAAGGTTGCAGGGCCAAAACACACGTATTGCACTGTAAATGCGCCATGATAGACCTCATTGGAAGCTCTAAATATGCTGTCAGAATTTACTAAATCAAGCAATTCTTGAAAAACAGTCGAATATCAAGGTATGAAACGTAATAATATATTTGCTGCACAACGAAAGCAGAAGCGTTGGGTTAATCTAAGTAAGGTATTGGTGTCAAAATTTAATCTGTCGAATGATTAGTGAAGAAGCAAACTTAAAAGTGAAGAAGATTTTTCTTGAACGAGTCAAGCTTTCTCCAGTACAAACAGTCGCAAAACTGCTTTTGATGATATTCGAGACACCTCTAGCTCTGTTATTATAGCACTTCAAAATAAAATTCTTTCTCGGTTAGTAACTTATAAGAAAAGTCAAATTTTGATTGTTAGAAGCATTCTTCACCGAAATTAATTCATTCAGATGTTCGAATAGTCAGATGAAATGAAGTCTGCTTCTAGTGAACACCGACTTGGAATTGGTTTTAAACTCAGTTAGTGGTTGGTTCCAAGCTTGATTAACTCTAACTGTATCGGAATCCCTACAGACGAAGATTGTAGTGAAATAAGGAATTCATGCCGGAAGTACCATCTGAACATGTTGCGTATGCTTTTCAATTTATCATTTGCTGCTTTGATGGTTTAGGCTTAAAAAAAATTACCAATTTTTATGTTCAAATGCAGAGACCGTATTCGAACGTCGATCAATGTGCTCGGAGATGCGATTGGTGCCGGAATCGTTAATCATTACGTGAAAGAGATCTTGTGACTCTTGACCACCTCGATTCATCCACTTCTAACTTAAATGGCAAGTTATTTGCGACCAAGTTCACATAGGTGTCGACGAACTGAAGATGGAAAGGAATTAGGTTGACATTTTGGATCTTTCATTTCTAAAACTTAAATATTCCTTTTACTGGTTGGCAATTCATGTTTCTCAAGAAGTAGCGTGGAATGAGTCTTTTTCAGAAAGCGCACTTGTTTTCACCTCCACCCATGAATCGCCATTATATTTACTCATCATATCCTAGTCGCTTGTACAAATTTGTCTATCTTTGATGAGAAAAAGCCAGCCCAGTGCAGAAGAATTCAGTAACTCAAGCTTTTCTATATAACCAAAGTAGATCACATCCTTCACTCATCGTCCAGAGTTGAATGATATCTTGAGGTCATGATAAAGTCATACTGATATCATATTTATCACTTCCACAGCCTGACTATCACCCACCATGGTTCAGGGTGTGATAGACCTCCAGAAGTAATAAATTATTATCTTCGCTCAGTATCTCTGAAATCAATCAACAGAACGTGCACGCTAGTGTTTTTGTAAACTGTAATGCTATCTAAGAGAATTGAGTGGTGAGCAAAAGCACGGCCTCAGGCGGGAGTCGAACCCTCGTTTCCTCTATACCGGGGACGCAAGGTGCTACCACTACACCACCGAGGCACATTTGCGCCGCCACTCATTCTTCAGCATCTCTGTGTCATCTATCAGCCACCAACCTTTAACAGGTATGGTCGGGTATGCGATTTCACTTTATACTAAGTGGTGGCGCAAATGTGCCCATGTGGTGTAGTGGTAGTACCATGCGTCCCCGGTATGGATGGAACGCTATTCGATTCCTGACTGAGGCAGTGTTTTTGCTTTACACTCAGTTCTCTTAGGTATATATATAATATCATAAACAGTGAAAAAAAAAACAGTAAAAATGCTATAATTTCGAAGTATTACATGCAACGCGATCACGAAGTGCTCTGCTAACAGTTGTAATCTCAACGTGCCCCGGAAGAAAAAGTATCGTAGAATGTGATGTACACTTTATCTTCGCACAGAAATATGACCAGGATGGATTTTTGGACAATCAAAGTAAAATTTTTCTCGGATAAGAAATACTTGTCGCCTCAAAAATATGTTTCAGCATATCGTGGCTAAATGCACCTTCCTTTTCAATATGAGTTTTCGCAAGAATAATTTTTGGAGCTCAAATGAATGTCATGTTGTTCTGCTTCATGGCTTCCGTTCACGCTGTCTTCAAGGAAACGTCACTGTGTCAGAACAAAATACTTTTTACAAGAAAAGCTAAAAAGTTTTTATTAAAACTTTTAAGCTTTCATTGTTAAAAAAGCTCTCGGCGTTGATCGGGCCCTGAAAGATGCGCCATGCATTCGTCTTCAATTTTTAAGTTCGTTTGAGGTGACTGAATGCAAATCTGGCTTTTACAATGAACGTGACGAGTGCCATCGAAACCAGTTCGGCCATTCCAGAAAGCTCCGCTTGCAACAAGACATCGAGCGATTAGATTGTCGATTAAATCTAAAAAAATATTTCTGATGGCCCAATGTAATTATTGAACTCAAAGCGAATTATATTGCTTACTATTTTTTAAGAGCATTTTGATGTTTTTGAAATCTGAAAATAATACGAAAGTGACATTCTCAAACTAACATACTAAATACTTCAAAATCAAAATAAAATACACATCTGAGAGTAATGAGTTGTTATGCTGTTCTTTGCAGCATACCTACGTTCGATAATTTGCACACCACTCAATAATTTCAGAAATTATTTTAATTTTGTATTGAAGTTCTAGTATGTTTATTTGAGAATATCTGTTTCAATTATGTGAAGAATATAATATGTATGATATGAATTCTATTTCGAGTTACCGACACGTTTTTGTTATAGTAGCGTAAACTTGGCATACTAATTGTTGTAATGGCCAATGAACTTTTTTATGTTTCTGTAATTCACTATACGACGTTTCTAAGTTCATCACAAGGAGTAAAAGCCATTGAACTCTAGAATAATTAACTCAATAAACTTACAAATTCAAGAAATTTTCAGGAAGAAACACAGCGTTTTTGTTAGATTGTGTCTCGTTTTTTTTGTTCTCGTAACTTCTCAGTATTAGACATTGTCTTTTGATCCACTGCTTTCTCAAACGTCGTTTTTGACATGCGTAAACCACTAACATGCAAACCTCGGAAAGGCCAAAAGTCTGTCAGAACGTATCGCAGTTTAAAAACCAGGTTTCAAAAGTATCTCTCATAAAGGCAATGTCTAAATGAGAAATCAAAGACATCCGCGTGTTATCGACTATAATGGACCTGGCAATATTTCACTTCGCCAGGTCTTAACAGTCCATGCCCCTCCCTCTTCCCCCCTTTGCCCACTATGTGCGGGATGATTGGTGGGGTGTGTGGCTTTAAGAGGCGAGCGAAACTACCGAAATATACGTAAGCCACTGACATAGCAACCTCGGGAAGATTAGAAAGTTCATCAGAACGTATCGACGTCTAGTTTTAGACAAGTGAAAAATTTGGTCTTTGATGAAATATGACATAAAGGCAGCACTAAATAGAATTTAACTAGTATTTGATATATGATTTATAGCGTAGAATGCACAATTATTCATAACCACCTTTAAGATTATCATCATGAAGTGCGCTTAATACATTGGATAGAGATGCCGTGACATAAACGCGTGGTCGTTGTTCCGACCTCGCCCCAGACTCTTTGCCCTGAATGACCCGTTGGAGCGCATTACGGTGAAAATACTACATCTATTCGGCAAGTCTAAGTGATGAATCACTCAGTTCTGGGAATGAATAATAGGAACGAACTGCGTGAAAAATACCCATGAGTGTCAAGGAAGTAGTGAAGATAACAAGAGGCGCTGGTACCTGTGCTCTACTTTATGCCACTCTGATCCTTCTTGCCTGAACATGAACGTCAAAAACGTAAATACCATAACAGATAACTAGCCAAAAGCCCTGCTGGTCCAATGAAAAACTTAGTGCCTTCCTTCTAAAGAAAAATAATGGTTTTGAAACCCTGTTTTGTACTCCATGTTTTTGCTCGCATCAGAACATTCTTGTGGTTATATTTAATATCGTAATCGTCGTTAAGAATGAATTGCGTGAGAAATAAAGTTGGAGGTTATCATATCACCTCAAGAGACTAAAACTAGAATATTGCGGTAATATGATAACATGTGTTTATTTGCAAATTTTGAGCCTTTTTATGAGGTCCGATATGACACTTTTACAACACTAAACAAGCCTTTTCCGCCATTCCAGGCTCATCAAGAGTGCGGTGACCTTCTGTTCAGCTGATCACTTGCAGGGTATATACCTCTAGTTACAAGAGAGTCGACACCGAATGACAGTTTACCTCAGGTCGGGTGATAAAAGCTCCCGACATTGCAGTGACCGACAGTCGAGTGACAGTGATTGGCAAAATTAGGAATACCACTTCATTCGACTGCTTTTATAGAGCTCGCTAGAGCATGTACTAGTGAGAAGCCTGGAAAGACGAAACAGACCTGCCGAATAGTGTATGAGTGCTATATCAGATCTCATAAAAGGCTGCAAAATATGTTAGCATATTATTAGATCATTAGTGTTTTTTGCGCGAAGCCTGTAAAAGCAGTTGAATGAAGAACTAACATGTTCCTTCATCATTTATGTTGTGCACATCCATATAGCACATTTGTAAAGATAATAAAAATCTCTTGAGAGAACACTGGAAACGAGCGGTATAATATATTTCAAAATAGCGGTCAAAAAATAATCGAGTGTACAACACAGCCAATGTGGTGATTTTCACTTGATGGCAGTGCAGTGTAAATCGTTCGTCTTCGCCTACTCTTAGTGTGGGGACTGGAGTACCCCGAGAGGACTGGCTGAAAGGCTAAGAGTTCGTGCTCGACTGGCGAGACTGTCGAGGTCGAAACATGTGTATCGGGCTATACAAGAGCCCATTGACAGACGACATGACAAGTGGGCTCAAATAACAATTATGAGATATGTTAGAGTATCATATTTGTTACCTCACACTATAGAAGCCTAACGGATCACTCCATAAAATAAACCATTTTTGAGCTCTCACTAAACATGAGGGTGAAATGAAATGTTATTGAGCATCGTCCGTGTTCTCTAAAGGACCTCTTAGCGATAAGGAAAACAGTCAGTATAGATTTTCTTGACATCTACTGCTCACAACTTGAAGAAAAATCGTTTTTGAAATCTTTACAGGAGTAGTATCACTACGCCCAGCTTCCTTTTTGCCATACTTTGTTAAAAAGCTACTTTTTCACAAGTTGTCTAAAACTGAGCAATTGCGAAAACACATAAGCGCGACATAATCTAACCAAGATGTCGTGTTCTTTCTGTTACTTTTCATCGAGTTCGTAAGCTTTCCGATGATTACGCCAAAAATTAATTTCTTTTTCTGCTTGTGATGCATTTAGAAACGCCGAATAATGAATTATAAGTACCCGAAAAACTTTACTAACCACATGACATTAATCATCATGCAGTGTAAATCCAATTTACGCCACCTTGACAAAAACATTATGGTAATTCGAAATAGAAGTCGTACAAGACACAATTCATTGTTCACATTGTCAAAACTGACATTCTCAAATCGATACACTAGATAATAAATAACGAAAAGTCAAGCGATTTCTAAAAGTGAGTGGTATGCAAAACATTCAACATCATTCGGGAGTTGATCTCGCGTTTCACTTATACTACGCGAGCTACCACCATACCGCAAATGCCACCGATCTGCTACCACTCTTTTTCGGTGAGCGCTATCGTAGGTGTCAGCAAAACACCTTTAACGAGTTTGGTCTCGTAAGCACATATCAGCAATATACTTAGTTATGCTGGCAGTTACTTGAAATGCATAATCTAAATGAAATCAATAATTCTGCTGTTTTTTAGCAGCAGTTTGATGTTATGAATGGTAACCTGGGAGTATAAACGGGTATGCAAATTATATTAAAATGTAAAAAATACTAGATTAACTTAGCATACCTTTATTTCGAGTGCTTTACTGAGACCACGCTCAAATTTCAATAGATCCCTTCATTATTATTTGAGCCAACTTGTCATGTGGTCTGGTAAGGGCTCTTGTACAGCCCGGTACAACGGGTTTCGTCCTTACAGACCCGTCAGTCGGGCAGAACCCGTCGTCTTCCGATATTTTTTTTAGTCAGTTCTCTCGGGAGCTCTGCTCTGCTCCCTTACAGAGAGTTATCAAAGACGAACGTTTTACACTCTATGTCAAGCGAAATTTTCACCTAACACAGAACGTTTGCGCACTCCATTGCTCATTGGCTGGTATCTTTATCATATTATACCTTTATTTCGAATGCTTTATTAAGATCCACGCTCAAATCTCAATAGATCGTTTCATTACTATTTATGCTAACTTAGCATAGATTTCGAGTAGCTGTCAGCATGTGCTTGATGTCAATATGTACAGAGCAGATTAAACCCGTTCAAGATTCAGTATGTGTAGTCTTTAAGAAGGTTCTGAACTTTTTTTCGAGGTTGTTACGTTACATTTGGTTTGTAGCTTACTAACCGATTCGGTGATATCGCCATCATCACAGTTACTCGCCCCTGTGATGGATATAGGCGTCGAAGAGTAGCACG